CATAGGAATTATGGAAAAGTTAAGGATGTTGCAAGCTTGTTCCTGAAATCAGGTAGAGTAAGAGCTGTGAGTGACAAGGCCGCAGGGGCCCAAATCAGTATAAATATCAGCACTTCTGCACACGTTAACCATCAGACAGAAGGACTCAGCTCACAACAATCATCCAGACCAGGAGAAAGAGTCGAACTTGAGCCTCTCAAAGCCTCCTAAGATGAAGACGTTCAGTGTTGCAGTTGCAGTGGCCGTCGTGCTCACATTCATTTGTGTCCAGCAGAGCTCTGCTGTCCCAGTCACTGAAGTAAGAACTTGACTTTAACCAGTGTATTAGCTTACAAGCTGCAAATGTTTGTTTCAATGCTACAATGTGGTTTCTACTGCACTCAATTCATTAACAGGAGCAGGAGCTGGAGGAGCCAATGAGCATGGACTATCCAGCAGCAGCACATGAGCAGATATTAGTGGACTCATGGAAGGTAAGTAACACTAACTGAGTGAATGTGGCCAAATTACTTCAGCTAAATGAAAGTGTTTTTTAGAGCAGGTGAAAATAAAGAGCAGTGATGCTGCTGCAGATGAACTCTGTGCTCATGTCTCTTGTGTTTCCCACAGAAGTTGTATAACACCATACACAGGCCTGGCATCAAGTGTCGCTTTTACTGTGGCTGCTGCACCCCCGGTATCTGTGGAGTTTGCTGCAGGTTCTGAGGATTCCTGCTCCCACAACCACTCAATATTAACTTATGAAGCTTTAAAATAGTCAGTTTTAACTGTGTTCATAGGATGAAACATTTTGATTTGGTAAGGTTGTATTGTCTATGTCTTCAATGATGTGACTGTATCAACATATTTAATCACATGTGTGTACTCATTAATCAAGTCTGTCAAATAATAACATTAAACGGTACTTCAGAATAATTCTTTTGCTCTGAAAAACAGATTTTATGACAGTGCAGCTGATAAAGAGCAGCTTTAAGTTCAACAGTAGTTAGACTAAACACGAAGTAGAACATTACTTCAAGTTACATTTTTACATGGATGGCCTATAATTTGAATTATGTAGCACTACATAACATTTTATATAAATATAATATAGACAGTTCAATCGTTACTCAGTAGTACTTCTCACAGTATAAGGACACAATGGTATATGACAGCAAATGTGCTATGAAGTGTTGATTCATCCACTTTATGCAGCTGTAACTACATTTATATAGATGGCAACAGCTGAAAGCAGTAACCAGCTAAACTGGTTCCTGCCAAGTCTGTATTTGTGCGTCAGCACTTTAGACTTTAGCCTCTCCATGCTTGGGACCTTATATTTATGGCATTGTTGTTTGGGGTTTTTTTGATTTAGAAGTTAATTTATAAATTTAACATGGAAGTCTATGGGGATTGGCTTGTTTTTCAAGCAGAAAAATAGTACCAGCTAGTGGTTTTTGGCAATAACATCTTAGCTTTATTTTTTAGCCCTGGAGTTTGTTTGTTTTTTGTCAAACATTTATATAGACTCATTATGGACATAAATTGAATTTATATATTTATATACACAGGCTCTAATATATCAATAAATTCAAGCTTTTGCAACTAATTCTTGTTTTAAGGATATTTTCTGTACAATCATTCCACCCTGGAAAAACAACAGTTCAAAGAAAGTATTAAAAGCCCAAAGTTACCACGACATTCATGCCCATGATGAGTGCATGTAAACTTTTGACCACATCTTTATTTCCCGTACAGATCTTTTGATCTGATGATGGATTAGACTTTCTCGTTTTGTTTCCATTTGTTGTTCTTAACAAGTTGGTTAACAATTCACAGTGTAGGTTTGGCTGTTATGTAGCTGATCATTTTCAGTGATCATTTATTGGTGTGAAGTGTTCAAACGAAATTTGATCACATTAAGTAATGCATAGGGGGGAGAAGAGGGGGACTACTTTTATCAGGAAAAAGGTAAACAAATCCCAGCTGTGTGATCTCCATTAATGACAACACTGCAAGAAGCTCTTATTTTTCTGCACAGGTACTAAAACACTGCACTCATTACTCCAGTGCTGAAAGCATTACTCCTCAGGGGCTGGAATCTTTTTAAAAATAATGAAATCATCCATCAATTCATCAATATATTCGAGGGGGATTTGTAGCTGCAGTGGTCCTTGCAGCTACTATAAATGAGACCAAAAAATGAAGTAATTATTCCTTATAGTCCTAAAAAAAAAAACAGTTAAAAAGGCAGAATGTATTCCAGCAGAGCCAATAATCCTACTGTTGTTGTTGACACAGATGTGCTCATTAAGCTAAAGCTAACAGGTCAGAGGGGTCACGGTACATAAGACAGAGTGGAGATAAGGGATTTTGGTTATTGCACAAGATGTTTAGTAAAATTTAAAAGACCCTTTCAACCTTTATCAGAGTAAACACACTGTGCACTCCTGTCATTATTGATTTTGGTATTTCCCTACAATTTATTTCCCTAAACAGATTTACATTATTTAAAGTGGTTGTAATAGAGTGACAAAATTTAAAGATAAGCCATTTGCTCTGTGTTGACAGTTACATGGCATTTGATACTGATCTGTTGAAAACTGGATCATATGTTGGCATGTTAGGATCTTTATTATGTGTAATAAATCAATACAGAGTATTACACATTGACATCAAATATATATTCTGTCTCATAAAACCATAATCCCTGCATTCAGTGCAGTTGTCTCAGTGCAGGAAACGGATTCACACAACTGAGGGAAAACTGAGTGATCAGATTAAATTCAGTTTGTATTAGACAGTAGCAAACTACATTATTTAAGCTGCACTGTCCCATAACTGGTCAATACTGAAAGGAAACCCACTCAGTCTAGCATCTTCTTATAAGAAAGTTCCAAGCACTGGACACATTGATTTGAAATAATAATTAGTGTATTAGTAGCATAGTGCAGAATATAGATGGCAAACTGTGTGCTGTATTAAACTGTTGCACTCATGAAAAATTCAATACTATGGCTGAATTAAGGAATTAAGATTATTGAACAAATACTGTTCGCATCAGTGCAAAGTACTGGACATTTTGTTGTTTGGGAATTTCCTATTACAATACCCAGCATCATTTAAGTAGTGTTGCAAGTCTTTCCCAAGAGGGAATAAAGTACTGCCAGTGACAAGGTAACACTGTATAAATAACAGCATGATCAGCAAACAGAGCCATTATGCTCAAAAGCGCTGATAGCAGAAACGAAAAAATTCAACTACTCTGACAAGTTAAACTGCTGAAAATGAAAACATTTGCGTTTGCAGTCATCTTGGCTGTCGCACTAACTATTTACATTGAGGGGAACGCTGCCTTTCCATTTACAACAGTGAGTAGCCTGCTTGATGTAAATTAATATTTATTCCTTTTTATTCAATGCTCATCAGCTCTGTGTGTTTTACTGTGTTTCTGAATGTATGCAACTAATCAACAGGTGGAAGACGTGGAGGAAGAAAAGAGCACCGATGATCCTGCTGCAACGCAAGAAGAGACGTCAGTAGAAACATGGATGGTATGCTGAGTTGATCAAATACTTAAAATAAGTCATGGAGCTTGAGTTCATTCAATTTCTAATCTACAGTGCGTTCAAGTAGCACTTCAAAATACAGCCTACAACCTATCCTGTAATTTTACAGGGCAATTTTTTTAAATTTAGGGTGCATTTTCAGTACCCAAAAAATACTTCAATGAAG